CGAAAGTTGAGAAGGTAAGGTGGAGTTTTTCCTTCTCGCTGGAGGCGTGGAGGAGCTCGGCCTCACATTAATCCGCCCCTGCTTCTTCTTGTGTATCGTCACTGATCAGTCGGAGTAATCTCTTGTGATTATAAGCCGTGGAACCGGACACGCTGCAACGGCAGACTCCTGTATGGTTTCTCTCCAGTCCACTACGGACTACGGAGTACTCTACGAGATAACGAGACAGACACTTTCCACCGTCCTCATCAGAGAAGTCGTACTCGTACATGAGTGACTTTGCGTGGGAGGCAGACAGGCAGCAGGGAGCATTAGGAATTTTCAGAGGCATGCATGCCTGCAGGCTGCAGCTAGGAACTCTGACACCTACTAGCTATGAGCTATCGTCGGGGGAAAAGTTGGAGGAAACGCTAGCTTTTCCGTTTAACGCAGAGAGAGGCCGACCGACAGAGGACGGCACGTAATGATCGGGGAGAATTCAGCTAGGAGGGTTGTCAACCGCGCCATCATTCTTCTTCCCGGCCGGGCCGGCCGCATCACCCCACGAACGAACTGAACGCCATCATGCCGCCGCTGCCTGTCGTATTTAATCTTTTTCATTCGTTCCTCCGATCCAACAGGCAACTGCAGGCACGCACGCCATTCAGCAATGAGCATGGCCCCCCACGGCCATCCTCTCTTGTTGCCGAGTGCCGGCAACACTCGACTCCACTCCATGTACATGCCTCCTGGTGCACTCTTTGTCCACAGTGGAGCCCCACTGCAATTGAAGGTTCAGTACCGGCCACTGCTGCGCCTGCATGCATGCGTGCTACGGGTACGGCGGGGCAAAGCAAAGCGAGATGCAATGCATGCAAGAGAATTATGCAAAAAAAAAAAACAGTGTTTATGTAATGTAACTAATAACTAACCTCTGTGAGGCTGAGGAGGCAGGCTGTGAGCAAGCAATAAGCAGCTAGCTCCTCGATCTAAAGCGGTAAGCACGCTTTGGGAGCGCCAACCCCAACCTTAGCTTGTTTTGCAGGCGCTAAAGCGGCATCAACTCCTCCTTTCCCAGGCCAAAGCAAAACAAAAGGAGAACGCCAAACCACAGCCGTACACACTGAAAGCACACGCACCTGCATTGCAAAACCACGGCGCATGCATTTTCTGTGTCTCTCTCCATCCACCGCCCAGCGTAACGCACGCAAACATACTGCACGGTTACGATTACCAGAATAAACAACTCGCAGTGCACCCAACTGCTAGCAATGGCGAGCCATGCGTTTTGCCCTGCCCGCGTGCAGTGTGCTGTATCAGTCTATCTATGGTCTATCTCTGCAGTCTGCAAAGCAGAACCACCCTCTCTGCTAACTCTCAGTTGTGAATTTGTGATATACGGAGTATACTGATACCGTGCCTTTTGCTGCGTAGGAGTAGACTAGTGCGGTAGTGGAAGCCACCTTGCCCGGCCGGCGGCGCCTGCTGCATGCCTTCTTCCTTCCAAAGCAAAGGTGCCGACGACTTTTGCCGTCGCATGCATGGCATGGGGGCGAGGGCGAGCAGCAGTGGGCATGCATGCATCCGCGCGTCGGGAGAAAGAGGACGCCCGGAAAGCTATTTTACTTGCCACACTGGTGTGGTGTTTTTTTTTCTTTTCTTGCTTTATTCCCCCTTTGCTGTCTTTTCCCCTCCTGATTCTGCTCTTTTGGGGTATCCGGATTCCAGATGGGTGACTTTGGCTTGTGGAAACCAAATCTCCATACCAATGTGTAGCAACGAAAATAGAAAAAGGTATGGTGTAGTAGTTTTTTTTTTGTCTTTTCCCTTTTTTTGGGGTGGGAAACCGCAACTATTTAGGGTGCATTTGGATGGCTAAAAATTAGTCCCTTCATCCTAAAAATCCAAAGAATTTTAGAATCAAATAAGGAGTCCGGTAAAAAGACTAGCTCTTCACTAATTAGTTACTTTAGTTGTCAACCTACTTAATTTCCTTGTAACGCAAATAGTTTAAAATGCGTGCATGTATGTCAAACGATTCGACTCAATATCACTGCTCACATGATCACAGAATTAAAACAAGCATGAGTTAAAGACAGACCAAACACGCTTCTGCTCTCACGTTCCATACTTTAAAAGTACACAATTATTCCACTCAAATACAAGTTTAGAACCATCTCTACATGGTATCTACATAGTAGAGAGCGACTAATTAAATTCTTCCTTATAGAGGAGAAATGCAACACTTTATTCTTCAGTTGCACAGTCTTTCCCGAAGCATGCTTCAGATCAACCCGTACCAACACCAGGAATAGTTGCACGTGCTCCGTTCCCCATCAGCAAGGAGGAAGTCCACCTGACCTCATAAGAGAAACAAGAAAATGTCAGCACATAGATGAATATTAGCACATGTGTCGACCCACCAATCAGGTGAAAGACTTACTGTACCTCGATGTTCCTCCCTCAGCCTCAACCATGTTTACAGACTTTTTCTTAAGCTTCCATTTGCTCTCCTCGCAAACCTAGGCATAATGCCAAGGTTTGCCCCAAGTGTAGAAAATTTCTTTCTCCTTGTTCCTCTTCTTCTTGAAGGTGATAGTGGTATTTTGTTTGAGTTATTACTTGAATTTCTTCTTAGAGGAGTTGTGGGAATTTTGAGGATTTTCTACACCACGTACGCACTAGAATTCCCCTCAACAACCTTCTTATCGCGAGCATCCTTTGCTCTCCCCTTCTCTTCAACATCCAAACAGCCAATGAGATCAGCAATGTCGAATTCTTGTCTCTTATGTTTTAGGGAAGTAGAAAAGTAGGTCCAAGTTTGTGGCAGCTTAGCAAAAATGCATGCCACCACAAACTTATCCGACAACACACATCCAATATTCGCAAGCTCTTTTGCCAACGTTTGTATCTCATGAGTTTGTTCTACTATAGAATAATGACCATCAATCATTTTGTAGTCATAAATCTGCTCCATAATATACAACCCACTACCAGCATCATAAACTCCGTATTTGGCCTCAAGTGCATCCCACATTTCCTTTCTAGTAGGCAACCACATGTATGCATCAACTCTGCTGTCACCAAACACGCTGATTATTGTCCCCCTTGAACATTGTATCAACATCATGGAATGCACAAGCCTCATTAGGAGTATGTGGTCCTACTGATCTAGGTTTGACAACGAAATAACAATGCATAGCGATCAGCCATAGCATGCACCTGTGACACCATCTCTTATAACGTGTGTCCTCAAAAACGTTCGATTTCGTCGTGTTCAAAAAGCCAGCTACCGAAAATTCCTTATCTGGTTTGTGGATAGTTAGAAATTTAGGCAAATTCATTTAATATAGAAAAAGGTAAACAACATGTTTCTGACATCAGAAAGGTGAAGGCGTGACCTAACTTAAGCATTTAAACCTTCTTTAGCTTAAGCATCGTGTTCCCCTTTATAGTACGACTTTTCTGACATATTAGCTTAAGCATTGTGTCCCCCTTTATAGTACGACTTTTCCTATACTCAAATTCAAAATATAAAAGAATTTAAACCTTCTTTGAGTTTAAAGCCATCTACATTTGTAATTGGGGGCTCCTCCGTTTCGTGTAGCATCCTCGAATATGAATTCCCTGCTTGTCATCTCGATAAATCTCATTAGTTCTCTAATTGCATGGTCATTATCACCAAAACCCACAATTAGGGCTTGATTGCACTTTCACCTTTATGTAACAAAGAAAAATTGTAAGAATTTCTAAAGAATTAGAACCGGAAATTTCATGCTAAACCCTTTCAAATATTTGAATTGAAGTAATCCAATGTGAATGAGCATCAAAACCAAAGTTTTTATGATTGGCAACCCTTTATTATTATTTGGTTCTTAGATATTCTATGTTATCTTTATTCATGCAAAGAGAGCGCTGGAAGTGGCGTCGCGTTGTGAAGTACTTTGTATAGAATCAGATACTGTTCTCCACCAATCAGTCTTTACTAAATCCTCCAATGGATAGTGAATGGAAATGTCACAAGATCACAAAAGATAGTACTTCACAAAACAAGACCCAAGACTCTTTTCTTTTTCAATTCTTCTTTCTTCTTGCTTTTTTCATTGCCTTCTTCTTGCAATTTTCCCTTCCTTCTTTTGGTTACAGGGAAACTTATTTTGTTTTACTTTTGCTCTTGATTTTGCGGAGAAGCTTCCAACCTCACTGTATTTATGGGTGTTTGGATCCACCTAGCTAATAGTTAACCGGTAAAAAATTAGCTAGGGTGGGTCCAAAGATGCGCAACTAATAGGCTAGCTAATTGTGGGCATCCAACTAACAACTAATCCCCCCGTGCCAAAAGGAATTGCAATTCTCACTTCCTGAGTACTCAAACTATTTAATATTGACCAAATGACATGTAGTGATGTAGAGTATGATACATAATAAGTATCATTACATTTGTTATAAAATATATTTTCATAGAAAACCTAATTGAAGATATAAATGTTCATATGTTTCCTATAAACTTGTCCAATTTAGAAATTGCATCCCTTTTGGGATGGAGGAAGATTTCACTAGCTGCCCCAACCTAGTTAGTAGTAGCAGCTAACAGACTGAAAATACACTTTTGTCCTTACACTGTGTAAAAGTTAAATGACATTATATAAAACCATCAATGCATCCAATTTTTTGCTTGGGATCAAAACACTACGTAGCTAATAGTTACTGGTTAGCTAATATTAGCTATAAACTATTTACCAGCTAACAATTAACTTTTAGTAGATGCAAATATAGCCTTGCTTTCTCAATGCTAGAGATTTTTTTCTCTCAAATTGCTTGATATTGCCAATGTACTCCAGACTGCACACGAAATCTGAAAATCGATTTGAGAAAAACAGTGTCAACGAAAAGTGACATTGCAATTTGGTACCGTAAGTACATGCACACACGAAGAAATCAATCACACAGAGTAGGAGCAAAACCAAAACTAAGGCTCCTTAATCAACAAAGCAATTGTGACACACTGTGATCATAAACGCTTAGACGGTGATCTCCACTCTGGGCTCGAAGGAGAAGGCGGCCAAGAACTCGTTGGCCACGCCGTCACCATTGACGTACTTGGGCAGCTCCTCCCACTGGTTGCTGGCCACGTCGCACATGAAGCAGCCGCTGGCCTCGGCGGAGGCGACGCAGACCATGAGGCGGTCGCCGTGCCCGACGCAGTTGATGTCGGCCCGCATGCCGTGGAAGCCGTGCGACATGGCGGGCGGCATGGCGGCCACCTGTCGCCACGCGCCCCCGGCGAACTCCCAGACCCGGAGGCTGGCCGTGTCCAGGTACTCGGAGAGCACGACGGCGTAGGCTGCGGCGCCGCACGCGACGACGTCGATGGAGTACTCGAAGTAGACGGGGAGGATGCGGGGCAGCTCCGCGAACGTGCGGCGCGCCGTGTCGCAGGCGACGACGGTGCCCGAGTAGCTGAGGAAGTAGGCGACGGCGTGGGCATCGATCTCGCCGTCGCCGTCGCGGCGCGCGGGCGAGGGCACGACCACCGAGGAGTACTGCTTGGACGCGCTGCGCTGCATGTTGGTGGACACCACGTCGCCGGACTTGCTGAGGAAGTAGACCGTGTCGTCGGCGCCGCCGCCCTGCGCCGGCGCGTCGGGGTGGCAGGAGGAGTCGTCCCCGGCCTTGCGGACGAGCGGCAGGGGCCCCTCCCACGAGTCGCTGGACGAGTCGAAGACCGCCATGGAGAGGTCCGGGAGGTCGCCCACGAAGAGGGCCACGCGGTAGTGGGCGCCGGCGCCGGCGCCATACATGGCGATGGCCTGCAGCTGCTGCTGCGCGCCCTGCAGCGGCGGCGGCGAGGGGAGCGCGCGGGACGCGCCCGTGAGCGGGTTGGCGACGGTGAGCGCGCCCGTGGCCGGCGCGCGGTAGAGGACGAGGCCGCCCGACGCGGCCACGGGCACGGCGGCCCCCGGGGCGGCGCGGTGGCAGCGGTTCCAGCTGCGGCCGGCGGCGTCGAAGGCGACGGGACCGGAGTCGGAGTCGGAGAGCATGAGGAACCACGGGTCCCGGGAGGGGACGCGGGCGCAGGCGTCGAGGAAGGTCGGGGACGCCGCGGCGGCGCGCCAGCGGCGGCAGACGGCGCGGAGGCGGAAGTAGGTGGCCGGCGGGAGGCGCGCGAGGACGCGCTCGAGCATGTCGTCGTGGAGGTCCCCCATGCCGCCGGCGGGAGGCGTGGGCTTGCGCTTCCTGCCGTTGTTGTTGGTCTTGGCCCGCGGCGCCTCCATGCGGCGACGTACGCTGGCTGGCTGGCTGCGAGATCTCTCCGAAAGGCAGGAAAGCAAGACGAGTGAGTTGCTTGGTGGCGCTGGAGATGTGGACTTCGGAAGGAATCCCATCCAATTTGGAGCGAGTGCAGTACCTCGGGGGTGGGGAGTCGGCTGCGTGTTGTTCGTGCTGCGCTGGCTCCTGTGAGCTGTGAGCTCTGACCCCGAGAAACCTTGTGTGTTTATAGGGGAGCGCCGGCGAAGGCGAAGGGGAGGAAGCGGAGACTCGGCGACCGGCGAGGAGGCGGCGGCGCTGCTCTTTTTGTCTGCGTTGACATGCAAAGAAAGAAAAGCTCGCCAAGCGCCACTCCCACTCTGCGAGAGCCGGTGGTGGCGGAGATTATTCGGGAGTGGAGTGGTGGACTACTGGACTGGGTGCCTGTGTAACTGTAAAGCCACCACCTCCTGCCTCCCTATTTATACCCGTGCCAGCACGGCCGTGCCCTCCGTACTCCGGTACTCCCCTGTCCCAAAGCAACCGCACCTTCTCCGCAAGCTAAACTTTTTTTTTTACTAAAAAACTAGATATGTAAAAATTACAAATCATATCTTGTTGTTACGTAATAACTATTATTAAATTGATTGTGAAATATATACTTTCATAATAAATTTATTTACAGATATAAATATAGATACTATGTATTGCATATATAGCAAGATTTAAAGAATAAATTAAAGAGCCATTTTACAGTGGTTGGAAAAGTACAAATGGTACTTTCAAGTACTTTTATTTTTTCATTTACTAGCCATTTAATTGAGGAATAAAGTTTATATTTTACTCTTGAGGGTATATTAGTAAGTATGTTTGCTCACTCCCCAAACGTTTGATTCCTGTAACTGTTCATCTTCTTGCTCCTCATTTCTTCCTTGTTACTATACCATCTGCTACTGCGAACCACAAGGAAGGACGCAAGGAACTGACAAGCAGCAGACACACACTACTCGCTTTGCTCCATCTCCATGGTTATTGAACGTCCTTTTTGCTTGGGCTGGTTTGATTTATAAGTCGTATTTTTTTAATCAATGAATAATATTTTTCTCTCACACTAAATCAGTCAACAGTACTTTTAGTCATAGCTTATCAGCCAAAAGCCCAAACGATCGGGGCGCAAAGTCAAGTACGCAGGACGTTGCTGTTTTAGCTTTGCTCCATCTCCATCGTAGACGGAGCCTGCTACGTTGCTGCTGTTTCTGAGCTCGATCACGAGTCACGACGACTTCCTACGTGCTACGGATGCGACGCTGCTGCTTCGATTTGTTCTTCGTTTGTCTGGTTTACGTTGGATATATTACGGGGCTGGTCCATATAATATTTAATAAATTAAATGAATTCTATGGTCCATAATAATGCGTGATATATAGTTTAATATCGTACGAAATTTTGATAAAATGTTGACTCGGTTTATATGGTAGAATATTGTCTATCTATATTGAGAAGCCGAGAGAAGAATGTGGGTGTGTCGTGGCGTGGCGTGGCAGGTGACGACCGGGACGTAAGTGGTTTTGCCACTCAATCCACATAATTACGGGAGTTACTCTCTTTTATATTGGAGGCGTGGCAGACGACGAACGGGACGGGAGTGGTTTTGCCACTCAATCTATATAATTACGGGAGTTACTCTCTTTTATGTTGGAGGCGGCTTCATTGCGGGACTTTTCGCATGTTACCGTCGTCTCCGTCCTTCTGCGTCCGCACGCCATCTCCGTCTCCTGATCTCCTCCTGAGTCTCTTCGCTTTCCCACCACGAGCATATATTCCGAGCTCCTCCGTCAGTTATTTTTCTTAGCGGTCAATCCTTAGTTTGAGTATCATCTACATGCTCACGTTTAAGACACACAAGCGCATATATGATGTCACCAACATGATCATTTTGTTTAATGTCTTTTTTTCTGGATTAAATTGCTGTTAAAATTGTATAATATTCTAACAATCCAAAAATGTGATAGCCAATTTTCGATAGTTGGCTTTGTGAGTATACTGAAACTGAATATCTTTGAGGGCACTCATTACAAGAGGTGGCGGCAGAGGTGCATTCTATGGTTGACTTTCATGCACTGCTATTTTGTTGCTGGACCTAGGGCTGTTGGGCCGCATACTTCTGATGAGGAGCGTGCATTCAAACATGCTGACACTACGTTCAAGGCGGCAATTTTGAGCGTGCTCGGAGACACCATAGTGGATGCATATGTGCCGCTACAGACTGGTAAAGAGATGTGGGACGTACTTGATGCCACATATGGGGTTTTTGATGTTGGTTCTGAGTTGTATGTCGTGGAACAGTTTCATGACTACTGGATGGTCGATGACCGTTCTGTAGTGAAACAAGCTCACGAGATACAAACACTGGCAAAAGAGCTCAAAATTTTTGGTTGTGTGTTGCCTGATAAGTTTATCGCAAGCTATATCATTGCTAAGCTGCCACAGGCTTGGACAGATTTTGCTACTTCTCTGAAACATAAAAAACAGGAGTTTGCCATTGCCGAGCTCATTGGCTCTTTAGATGTTGAAGAGAAAGCGAGGGTAAAGGACGTTCCTGGCAAGAAAATTGGTGAGGGGAGTTCTAGTGTCCATGTGGTGCAGAAAAATCCTCCCAAATCTCACAAGAAAAAATTTCAGTAAGAACTTAAACAAAAGTCCACCACTCCTTTTAAGAAGAAGAACAAGAAAAAGGAAAATTGTTTCACTTGTGGCAACCCTGGGCACTATGCTAGAGAGTGCGAGGAGGCTAAGTGGAAGCCGAACATGAAAATAGCAAACACAGTTGAGACTGATGTAGGAACAATGGGGTATGGTAATTTATTGCCTACTGTTCTTTCAGTTTGTCATTCACCTGATTGGTGGGTTGATACATGAGCAAATATACATGTGTGTGCTGATATTTCTTTGTTTTCTTCTTATCAGGTCGGGCGGACTTCCTCCTTGTTGATGGGGAACGGGGCGTGTGCGGCAGTACGTGGTGTTGTTATGGTCAATCTGAAGCTTACTTCAGGAAAAACCGTGCTGCTGAAGAACGTGCATCATATCCCCTCAATAAAGAAGAATTTGATTAGTGGTTCTTTGCTTTGTCGTGATGGTTTTAAACTTGTGTTCGAGTCTAATAAGTGTGTACTTTCTAAGTATGGAACTTTTGTTGACAAAGGCAATGAGAGCGGAGACTTGTTCCACTTGTCTTTGACTGATGCTTGTTTTAATTCCATAAACCATGTGAGCCACGATAATAAGACAAATGTTTGGCAATCGCGTTTATGTCATATTTAATTTTGGTTGCATGACTCACTTAGCTGGTTTAAATTTAATTCTAAAATTTGATGTGGTCAAAAGTTCTAAGTGCCATGTTTGTGTTGAATCAAAGCAACATCGCAAGACTCACAAGTCCGCTGTAGCGAGGGATTTGGCACCGTTAGAACTAATCCATTCTGATGTGTGTTTGAGGTCAATGGAGAGTTGACCAAAGGTTGCAAGAGATATTTTATAATGTTCATAGATGATTGCACTCGATTTTGCTATGTGTATTTATTGAAAACAAAAGATAAAGCATTATATTATTTTAAGATCTATAAAGCTGAGGTAGAAAATCAACTTGAGAAGAAAATTAAACGTTTGCGGTCTAATTGCGGGGGGGGGGATATTTCTCCAACGAATTTTCTGAGTTTTGCATGGTGCATGGTATTATTTATGAGAGGACACCACCATTTTCACCATAGTCCAATGGGATTGCAGAGAGAAAGAACCACACTCTAAGTGAGTTGGTTAGCGCGATGCTAGAGACTGCAGGGCTATCTAAGGAATGGTGGGGTGAGGCAATTTTGACAGCGTGTCATATCCTGAATAGGGTGCTCACAAAGAACAAAGAAATTACACCATTCGAGGATTGAGAGAAAAAAAGATTAAATCTTTCTTACCTGTGGACATGGGGTTGTTTGGCAAAGGTGAATGTGCCAATAAGCAAAAAACAAAAGCTTGGACCAAAAAATTGTTGATTGTGTCTTTCTCAGTTATGCTATTCACAGCGTGGGTTATAGATTTTTGATAATAAACTCTGGTGTTCCTGATATGATTGTTGGTACAATTATGGAATATAATGATGCGATATTTTTTGAGAGTGAATTTCCCATGAAGAATACACCTAGCACTTCTAGTCATGAATCTATTTTTCTGCCTGAGACACATGAACCGATAATACACGCTGATGTTGAAACCGAAGAAGAAATTCCTGAGAAGGATAATAATATAGTCACTCGAAAAAGTAAGAGACGGAGGACTGCAAAGTCCTTTGGTAAAGACTATATTATATACCTTGTGGATGACACTCCCACAACCATAGCTGAGGCATATTCATCTCTTGACGCTGACTTGTGGAAGAAAGCTGTTCAAAGTGGGATGGATTCTATTATGTCTAATGGAACTTGGAAAGTAGTTGATCGTCCTTATGGATGCAAACCTGTGGGGTGTAAATGGGTCTTCAAAAAGAAGCTTAGACCTGATAGTACTATTGAGAAGTACAAGGTGAGGCTAGTGGCTAAAGGTTATACTCAAAAAAAGGATAGGATTATTTTGATACTTACTCACCAGTTGCTCGTTTGACGACCATACGTGTGTTGCTGTCCTTGGTTTTCTCACACGGTCTTCTCATTCATCAGATGGATGTTAAGACAACTTTCTTGAATGGAGAGCTTGAGGAAGAGATCTACATGGATCGGCCTGATGGATTTATAGCAAAAGGTCAAGAGGATAAGGTTTGTAAATTATTAAAATTCTTGTATGGCCTAAAGCAAGCTTCTAAGCAGTGGCATGAGAAGTTTGACAAAACTTTGACATCAGCCAGCTTTGCAGTGAATGAAGCTAATAAATGTGTCTATTATCGGTATGGTGGGGGAGAAAGTGTAATTTTGTGCTTATATGTGGATGATATTTTAATCTTTGAAAATAATATTAATGTGATCAAGAAAGTGAAAGATTT